GCAAATAATGCGTAGGATTCCAAACTTACTCTGCGAATAGCGCGATAGGCACATAGTTTTCAAAACGCCTTCAAGCTGTGCCAAATCGTTGAGCTGACATTCCGGAAGGGAAGTAATATCTGTACGCGAGAAGCTCGACCAATGATCACCTGCGGGAAGATGCGCGTTTTCTGTACAACATTAGAACAGGACATGAAATAAGGGAAATCATAACTAAGTTTATTGAAAATATCTTAAGATTAGATAACCTAGTCGCGATATAAGTCCCACCCACTGTCTAAAAAGCAAGTGCAAATTAAAACGTGAATAATACAAATATAATAGACTCAAACGTTTTTAAAACACTATAAGTACTGTACAAGTTTGAGAAATCCCACTTAAGTGAGAGATATTAAGGGAGGCATTAGTCAGTTAAATCAATATCGACCTCGATTTCTTGAGCTGATTGAATCTGTAACACGTCCACCTATTGCATATCGAGAAGACTTTGTTTTGTCTTTCTTGTCTACGTCATTACGGTTGGAACGATGTGAGGGAGAAGCACGACTCCGGGAATGTTTCGCAGTCGAATGTGAGGGAGATCTATCCGATACACACGAAGAGTAGCTTGAGGCAGAACGCGACCTATGTCGGCGTCGATACTTACTACTACTGACATATGGACTTCTAGATCTCTTTCTGTGGTGATCTCTTTCACGTCGTCGAGACTTGTAAATGTCATGTTTACGTGTGCCTTCTCCACTACTAACAGAAGAAGAACTAGATGAAGAGCGCTTATGTCGACCGTTTTTCGACTTATTAGATCGCGATGTAGGACTTCCGGAATGGGAATAACCCTTGGAACCCTTTTTTGGTTTGAGATCGACCTCACGATAAGCCGCTGGTTTTCGTTTCTCAGATCGAGAACTAAAATATAAACAAATTTTGCTAAAAAATAAATTCGATCGATACAAAGTATCCAAAAATCAATGCTTACTTCACACTTTCAATCTCCTTCGAGTTTATCTCGGTTCCATTGACGGGTTTGAGAGGTTCCTGCGATAACTGATTGACTGTGGGAGCTATCTCAGAAGCCGAAACGTTCTTAACACCATTAGAAACAGGAGGAAGAGGATTTTCTGAATTATTAAAAGAATTTTGTGCACTTAAATCATCATTATTTTGGCTAGTTTCGTTAGCAGCTGCTGAGGGGGCCTGAGCAGCCGCTTTTGCGGCATTAGCAGCTGCAATGGCCTCCCTCTCTTCAGCCTGCTTTTTCCGCACTTCAGCTAAACGACTCTCTATAGCTGCTATGTCTGGCTTTGCCCTAACATATAAACGCTGTAGACACAAGGCGATCTCATGAATAGATTCATCATCAACATTAAACATTTCCCACCATGGAGGACAGCGAGGTAAAGGGATGCCCAGACGACGAGCAGCGAGGAAAATACAGGCGCAGGCTAATGCTTCAGGAGTGTGGCGGACAAAGACATCTGTGCGAAGAACATCATTCATACAGTTCCTAGAGGAAACACATATATATATATACACATATAATCCCAGACAACGAAAAATAGTGCATGCCCAAAGGACCTACCAAGAAGTCTGGACTAACTCCTGATTTCCTTCTGCCGACAGCGTTCTAAGATATAGTATGACAAGCTAAGGAATTTATTATATCGCAAATGGAAATTACCTTATGAGGATGTTTGCCGTGCACACAAAATCCTAATTCTTTCAATAAGCGACGCTCAGCCTTGATAATATGCCTCTTTAAATTAACGTAATTCTGGTCAAACATAACAGGAGTGAACTCCCTATAAAAGAGATAAGTCATGAAAGGAGTAACGCACCTTCCCTCGCGTGCTTGTTTCATGTGAGCAAATACGTTTATCACCTCGCGAATGCGTCTTGGGTGTTCTTCGATCTTCGCGGCCAGAAAAATACAGGCCATAGCATAATGCTGTAACAATAAAAGAAAAAAGAAGTACAGCTTACCTCATAAACGTATCTGACAAATGATTTAGAATAGAAATATCGCTGATAGAGCACTTGAGCGGTTGCCATTGCCACTTGAGGAAGTTTCAATAAAATACCAGCGTCTTGAATAAGCTCACAACCCAAATAACGAAGATCAAATTCCGTTTTAGGATCCAAACCATCGACACTTGAGGGAGTAGGGGATAATTTCTCCACAGGAATTACGTAGCTATCAATAGACAAGTGCACGCCGGCATATTCCCAGTCAGCGTTTGCCATATCAATGATGATAGGGGAAAAGCAAATAAGAGACTGAACCGAAACCAATACTTGTAAAGGAATTGAAACAGTACATTTAAACATATAATTCTTCGTTTACTAATAAAAATCATATATTTTCAAAAAATTAAAGTAACTATTGTAATACGATATTTTAAATTAGTGATTTGAAATTTATAAGAGTCAAATTTTAAGCATAACTTGAGTGATTTATATTTCCAGTCATTAGGCGATTTAAATATTTCTACATAACAGTGAGCAATAAATGCAAAATCCAAACATCTGTTAAATTCAAATGAATCTAGTTTTGGGGTTTCATGGTAAAAAACACTTTCAGCTAACTAATCTTGTATAGCATGTTCAATTGGTAGAAAAACGTAAAATTCTGATTACAGGACTTAGGTTAATTAAATTAGAAAACGAAGGTTTAAGCACTTAAATTACTTTGTCTTCTCTGTGATTATAAACCCTCTTTGCATTTTTAATAACAAATAACACTAACTAACTGTATTGTTCGAAGATATTGTTCTCCAGTAATCACTTATGTAGTTTTGTCACTGATTAACACTTTTAACCCTTGTCAATACTGTCATTTCTAGACTTTGTATTGAAAATAATCGATAATTTTCCAAATTAAATTCAATTGAGCCATTCGAGGGGTCGACAGCTACAATTGCTACCATTAAACATGGCATTTGCTCGATTATGACTTCCGCATGAATGCTCATTTCAAGAAAAGTAAGTGGTAAAGGAGCTAATTAACAGTAAAATGTGGAATGCAATGTGAGATAGATTTACTAAGTTTAATAGAAAACCATTTTTTAATTTAAAAATTACTATTGTGAGTAAGAAGGATTTCTATTTGACCTAAGAGAGTTACTCATAGAGAAATATCGATGAAAAATATTCCAAAAAGCTTATCCGATAATATCAAAACCATTGAAGTCATTTCAGAATGATGATCTTCTATCGTGATTTCTATTACAAACAAAAAAATTCAACCGACAACAACAACGGTAACAAAATATGCTCTGCCACAAAAAGTAGTTACATATATGCACCATCAAAAGAAATCCAAAATGACCAGTAATGATAACATACTGTTCATAAAACATGAATAAATTACCAATGAATGAATGCAAACGTTATGTCCACATTCGAAATGTCATATCTGCACGAGCAAATTGACTTCTTGGTTTGCTATATAAAAAAGAAACCAGACAACATCAAATTTTAAACGGAACAAATCATCATGTGTAAAGTGTGGACATATATGTTGTTGTTACGAAAATCAAGAGAGTTAATGAAAAAAATTCGGTTGAATCAACGAGAATGCAAGTAGTGAAGCTTTAAAGAAGAAAATAAAAGGAATTTGTGCAAGTATTATTTATATTTAATTTGAAGTGCTTAGGCATTCCGTTTATCCTGAATGGTAATATTCCACGTTATCACAATTTCTAATAAGTTGCTTTAAGTTAACGCTTTTTATAGTCGGTAAATTTTATAAAACAGAGAGTCAAATGCAATAAATCCGACATAAATTAATATTACGATGATTGTTCTAAACATAAAATTGAAACAAACTATTCAAATTTTAGATTGCTAAGTAAACTGTGTAATTAACAACAATAAGTTTTACAAAATTTCGCCCAAACTTCACTACTTTATGAGACATAGAGAAAGATTCATGACGCATATTCTTACAAATCATTCTGAAATTACGAATAAATTTCAAAAAAGAACGAAAAATAAAAAATTCCATCTCGCAGTTATGATTTACTTGTGTGAAGCATAGTAATCGAATACGACATCTAGATTTTATTAAGTTTGTATTTTGCTCACATTACGCCACCTTTTTGAAATATCAAATAAGTACACGCGCCTGTGATGGAGAGAGATATTTTGCGTCAAATTGAAGTGTGTTTTCCGTTCTGATGTATTATATTTTTAGTATTACTTTGGTGACATAAACTTGTCGAAAGATGAATTTATGAAGAATTCATTGAAAGAACATGATGGATGTATGTGAGCGATTAATGTCTAAAATTTTAGGGTTGCCTTTTGATATTCTCTTCAAATTTAAACGTCTTGCTCAATTAACGACCGATGCTGAAGTTGTTAAGAAGGCACTGGCTTCCTCCGCATTCCTTGAAGTTTCAGATAAAGGAGTTAGACGCGATCCTTCCAATCCAGCTCCATCCACTTTGGAAGAGGCTATGCAGAAGAACATTGATCGTGCCCTCTATGTCAAGGGGTTTCCATTGGATATGACCCTTGATAATGTAATCAACTACCTTGAAAAGAACTGTGGCGAGACTATAGACGTGTTTCTAAAAAGGGGACTTAATAGAAAGTTCAAGGTAGGATGTAAAATTTCTATCTTCAAATTACTAAATAGGGAAGCATTTACGTAACCTTCAAAGAAAAGGAAGCTGCAGACAAATTTATGACCTCGTCCGATTTTGCTAAGTATAGTGATAAACCCCTTCTGCGTAAATACTAGTATGTTCATTGATAAATTTCACCATCGATGTATTTTCGTTAATTTTTACTATGGCGTTTCTATGAAGCAAAGATTATAGAGCCGATAAGCAGCGAATTATTCAGACTAAGATAGCAGAAAAGGAAAAGAAAAAAAGTAACCTACGGAAGCGAATAACTGAGGGTGCACTACTTGAATTGTCTGGTCTTCCTCCTCTTGGTAAATTTGTTAGAGTTAACTTTTGCTAGCTTATTTTAGCCGTCTTAATCTTAATTTTGTTTTTTTATTTTCAGTCGCTCAATCAGAAGCGATAGTTGAAGCTGAAGAGGGGAATAACGAGAATCTGGGTGAAAATAATGAAAACGATATCAAGGGTACTGATTTGGATCTGGGTGTGACTTCTCCTATGACTAGACGAACTGTTACCAATCTCAAACACTGGATTAACGAAAAGGTAGTTACAAAACTAGTCCTATCTTATTTGCTTCATAATAGATGAATTCAAAAGTGCAAATTGGATGGGTCGACATTCTTCCAACTGAATGCAAGGCTATTATCCGCTTCAAAGAGGCTCGTACAGCCTCTAAAGTCCTTGAAGAACTAAAGAAACAGGGGGAGATTGTTTATGAAGGTCATACATTAACTGGGCGTTGTATAGAAGGTAATCTATTGGTTTTCTTGTTTGAAATCATGCTATTTAAATCTGTTCTTAAGCCCTTTATTTACTATTCAGGTGAAGAAGAGCTAAACATTTGGAAGACTGTTCTAGAGAAGATGGAATCCAAGAAAAGGAAGGCTAGTCGACCGCATGTAAGTTATCTAGTTGATTTCATCTCTTTATTTAGCTCTGCAATTAGAATATTGCTTTTGAGTGTTTGCTAGAAACTAAACTGATTAGTTTTTTTATGGGTGCATTTTCGTTTAATCATAAAAATACGTTTAAATGCCATATTAGATACTGACTCCACGTAATTGTTAGTAAGTCCATGGATTTAAACGTATTCGCTCTGCCTGTGATTGTTTCCTGTTTAAGAAAGTGAAAAGTATCAAGTGGTTCTTCGCGAAAGATCAATCTTCGGGCTTTTTTCATGTTTAATGTGAATGCATCTCCTTGCTAGCTATATTTTTTTTAATTTTTGGACACATGTCGTTACCTCTTCTTTTTTTAATCTATCGTCTTTTTTCATCATTCCAGAGCGGTGGTCGATTCCCAAGTAAACGTCGTCGTCGTAATTAACGCTGTATACACGCAACCTCGAGCAACTGTTTTTCTAATCGATGAAATATAAATTTCGTTGTTATTTTATTGTGTTATTTGTTCTTGTTGTTTGCTTGTTTTTATTGGGAGCTATTTTAGATAGTAATCCTGGAATTCTGTTTTGTGTTTGACCTAGGCATCTCGAAATTCAGGAAGGCGATCTAAGAGATCGACAGGGGTTGGTTTAGGAGATGATAAGGAATCTGTAGCGGGTTCAATCGCATCTAATGCTTCCACATCACGACGTTCGCGTGCAAATCGAAGTCAGGCGACCACAAGTTCACCTAAACCTACGGCAGTACAGAGAGGGGCTAAACGCCAAAATTCTCTAGGGGATGAAATTAAAGAAATTTATAGTGAAATTAAGCAGAAATATACCCTTGAAAAGTGGGGTCGTGTTGCTTCAATCTATCGGAAAAATGACTCCGTGATTAACAAGCAATTGAAACGAGCTGCAGAGGCTTGTGAAAGGCGTAAGAATTCGATTGTTGCCGCTCCGGTTGAAATCCCTCAATTGTGTAATCAACTCGGACACTTCGAGGCTAAAATTAATGGACATTACGCTCATGTTGGGGTCAACATTATCCCAGTGGTAGGTTATGACCTCCATACTGTTTACTCAATCCACTTTCTAGGTCGAACCAATCCCCTCAATGTCTAATTGGGCACCCCTACAAAAAAATTTCTCTGTGGAAGATGAATGTGTCTTAAATAATCTTCCATATATTGGAGACCAAGCCAATGACGATCCTTTCCTTGAGGAATTGGTTAAAGATTACTACGACGGTGTGCATGGAAGCTTTCCCTTTGATTTTGAGGAGCGTTTCACTGTAAACTTGGTTGATACTGTGTACTGTAAATGGGATTCCCTCCCTAATACCGACGTCTTCGAGAAAATGAAAGTTCCCCGCTTATCAGATGGTGAAGAGGAATTAAATGTTGGTTTTTTTGACACCCTGTCTTATTGCCCCCTATTCTAGGTTTCTAAAACATTTGCTGGTAGGGATGAGACCCAATTAAGAAGTCCTAGAAGAAGCGCCTCCTTACCGCAGTCGCCTGATTTGCGTATTCCTCATGCAATTTTCTCTGTAGGAGAGGTTTCCAAAATCTTTTCATGATTTTTTTTCACTACTTTAATTTCATTTTACTCTTTGTCCATAGGCCATTGCCGATACCTTTGGGTCGACTGATAATGTGGCAGAGCTCAAAAGTAAATACTACACTTTGCTGGCCTCGCAAAACTCCTCTGTAAGTGATACCGCCATTACTTATGCTGTTGTGTGCCGATATACGTCGAGTGACTTACAGAAAATCTCATTTTGGGGAGGGGGAGTTTTCTATTGAGACTTTAATTCTTTCCTTTAGCCTGAATCATTTCTAACGCATCGATTATGTAATGCTCTTCTGTATACTTTATTGTAAAGACAGCGGATGTAAAGTATTCAGATTTATGTATATCTTTTTGGTCTGTAATTTGGAGTGTGATTAGTCTGTGTTGGAGTGACGAATCTATCATTTCAAGATAAACCTGGCCAAGATTATCTCTTAAAACTTATACGTGACTGTGTGATTTGAGACGTCCACAGTCTCAAATAGTTGTCTGTAATGTCAGCTGCAGTCGCATAGTGCAGGCAGATATGGTTGTATGTGGACTGACTAAAGACGTCTATTTGACAATGGGGGAAGTTCTGCATCTAAAACTTGGCGCACATTACAATAAGCCTTATCAATTCGTGGAATTGTAATTGACACTGATTGACATATTTCTTTTAGCTCCAAATACTTTCTATCTGCAATATTTTGCATGTGAGATTTCAATTATCGAAGAATGGGATAGAGGCATTAATTCAGCTTTCTCTTCTTCAATTTTGAAGTTCCTATCTTCTACAAAATATAAGCTCAGTGCAACTAAACTACTCAATCGCGATTCTTTCATAGCCTGAAACAAGACTGTATAGTTTTCCGTGAAACTCTCTTCATTTATTATCGTGTCTTGGCTATTGCCTCGTTTTTTGCTCTCTGATTTTACTAGTATCTGCTAGATTGTTCGAAGTGCTGTTAAAAAGCGTGAAGAATCAAATTTCTACCTCTTCGTTTCTAAATACCGTATCCTATTTGGCATGTCTTGACGAGGATTTATTTACACCTTTCACGTTGCTATCGGCTTCTACTAACTATATCTATTTATATCAAATGGCAGGCATTTTGATAGTATTTGCCCTTTAGCTGACTTCGGGCCTCAGAGAAGAGGAGGAACATCAAAGTGACAAAAAGTCGAGAGGAGGACAGAATAATGATTCACATATATAAGAGACAGACAGACAGAGAAAAGGTAGGATGAGTACTGTGAAAGTGGTCGATTATGACATACAGTGGGGTGATGCTAGTTTGAAGTCAGAAGTGAACTGCCGGTTAATTGACTTTTTTGACATATGAGTATACGTTGCCTATGGTGCACCACGTGGAGGTAAGTCTATCGCACACCCCTACTAACTTTATCAAATCTTAGTTTTTGGAGGACAAGGTAAGCTTTTAATTGTACATTATATGTATGGCATTAAGCACTTGAATCCATGGTATAAACACGTGAATATTATCGTTTAAGGAGATGTTTAAGTACAAATCATTTTCATCCTAACCCCTTCACATTTATTTTTCCCAGGATCAAGAACACCCTCCTTCATTTCCTAATTTGGATGAACCAGAGGAAGTGAACAACTTCTACAAAGTAAACCAAAAGAAACCCACCCGTTTTCACGCCCTGCATACATTTCGTCTACTCTTTTGCCGTCGATGCTACAAATACGACTGCACAACACATCCCTTTCAAACCACCGAGACGATGTGGTGTCATCGTATGCCGCACGACAAATTGGATAAAGCCAGTAAGGTTATATATTGGCCATTATTTCTTCTTTGTCTTGTTTAGGTCTTCCTCTTTGTGGACCTGAATGTCTTCGATCTATTGACGGAGAGGTGTCTTTTACTGAAGCCGAAATCGATAGGGAGTTTCCAACTTGGGAGATTGTTGATCGAACTCTCTTTGAAGTTCTTGCCCCGCTGTATGTTCCTCAGGGATCAGGAATAACTAATTACAAATGGTGCTGTGTCCTGTCGGATTTTTTAAAAACCCGTACCTGCAAGCAGGTGGGATTCCTATTAAGATGCTTTAATTCTCCCCTTTGTTCAGGTCCTTTTATACACTGAGCACATAAGACGTACTAATCCCTCGCTTCTGCATGGGCCCGATGGTGGCCAATCGAGGTTGGTGGATGAGAAGAATAGGGATTTGAATTGGACCTCCCGAATTTCTAAACTTGCTGCTAATACTACAACTAATAAATCTGGAGAGATTTTTATAGATCTCGTGAGTTCCTCAGATTCTGGACGCCCCAAGAGTGATAATAGCCAGAGAAAAAATGTCAAAAAAGGTGGGTGGGATTTCATGAAATATTCTCTATATCATTCGATCCCTTCTATGATATGAAGCGTGGTCCAAATCAGTATTTATGTAAGTACGAAAAATAAAAATGATTAAGAAACATATAAAGATGGTATATTTCGGTGACGCTTGCCTATGGTTTCGAAGGATTTACATTTGGCTATAATATGCATTTATCTAAAATGAATTTTTTATCAGTGGTTATCGGTCACGTCAGACAATTCAAAAGACATTTTATTGATTCTCTGCTAACTTTTTGTTAGAGTGGCTTCTGGCTAATTTTCCACTTTCCAATTCAAGTAATTTAACGACTTTCCAAAATGAGTTTGGAAGTTTTATCTGCCACAACGCTCGCTTTTTTCACTCTGTTCTCTGTCGTTGTATTTTCAGTGAAGTTTCGCTCCATGTGTGCGCCTTATCGATGTCTGATATTTCATTTTGTTTAATTAGAAACGGATCCTAATGACAAGAGATCTAATCCGTTTGCACCCTGTGATCACCCCGGTGTTCCCTGTAATCAAGACTGCCCCTGTAAGCAAGCCGGTACTCGGTGTGAGAAGTTCTGCCAGTGTGTGCATGATTGCTCTAATCGGTATGTCAAGTTTGTTTTATTTTTATTATGTTTAAATTTCTAGATTAATAATGTCTATTTATTGTGAGTTAGTGGCGTTTGAACAATCGTCTTCCAACCTTGGTTGGTGGAAAATATTTTTTCATACCTGGGGTTGGGAGTTAGGTCAATTTGCTCAAAAAGATGCATTTTACCAATACTGCGTTTATCAGATTTGGCATATTTCAATCTTGAAAGTTTGTGATTTCCATTGAACAAGAAGGGTTAGTTCTAATTTTGTCCTTAGAAATTTATTAGTCTTGTATTCGAAAGCTGTTCGGAAGAATTGCCCTAAAGGAATTCAAGTTTCTGTGTCGTTTGATAATTTGATTATTTTAAAGCAAGGGAAGAGTTTAAAAGATCGAATCAATAACGTCTTTTCCATCGATTTTCATTTACAATCTTGTTAATAAGTAACTTCATTCCTTTTAAATTGAATCCGAACTATTAATCAATTCTTTTATGAAATTTACTTTGAAAAAATCGCAGCAAGGTATATTTGTACACAAACATCCATGTTCAGTTTTTAAAACACTTCTCAACATAATCTGAATTTTTGAGTTTTATAATACACCTCTTTGCGCTCTTTGTATCAATCTCTAATGGCCTCGCCTCCTTTTTGCACTTTTACAACTGGTTTCTAAACTTCACAGAGCTCTGATAACTTTAAAAAATAGTAAATACCATTTTTCCTCTTCAGATTTGCTCGTCCTTTCACAAGTCTACTTTGATTTTGCAGGAAGACGCGCTAAATTACTAGCGCACCCCTAGGCGGTTGTTGGTTATGGTTTGTAACGTTTGTTCTGATATCATTTCCAGTCTTAATTGCAAAAATGCATACCTTTTAATCTAACTATTGCAATAGTAAGTTGCTACTATTTCTATCTATTTGCTTTGGGAAGGGAGGGAACAGATCTTAGCTTTGAGGTAGTGGTACTCGTATTGTAATAAACTTAGTTGTTCCTTGTCCTTTCTTCATCTGACATGGAATCGATAAAATTCATGATGTTGCAAGTAGAAGCCGTAAGCGTGTTAAACAACTTGTGCTTATTACATTCATAAGGTCGATGCAACAAGTGTTCTGTTGAAAGCAGACCGAGCCTTGCATTTTCTTCATGGATTCCCGAATTACTTTTATTTCAGATTCCGAGGATGTCAGTGCCGTGGGCAGTGTGTTAAAAGTTGCCCGTGTGTAATATCCAATCGTGAATGTGATCCCGACATCTGCAAGTGCTTCAAGGAACAAAAGTCGGCTAAACACGATGTGAATGCTGCTGTGGAAAGTGATGGAGGTGGTAGTGGTAGTAGCACCCATAATGGACACTGTCGTAATGTCTCTCTGCAACGGGGACTGCGCAAACATCTCCTATTGGCACCTTCGGACGTCGCAGGGTGGGTTATACAATATATATATATATAATTCTAATTATGCTAGTAACGAAATGATATGAACGCCTGCAGTGAACTAAAGTTTCTTCAACTTATTCGACTTGAGTACACTTTGCTTTCCAATGCTTTAAAGTGCATCTCTTTTATCAAGCCGCGTGTTTAAGATTTGGCGAGACGTAATCCGGAATCCTTGTTCGTGGGTTCCCCATACCTCATCTATTACGTGTAAAATGAGAGTTTGTTGATCACGTCACAGAATATCACATTTTTTCTGTGCTATTCCCTTTACTCTAAAACATTGTCTTTCCAGATGGGGTATATTCCTGAAAGAGAGTGTGGTGAAGGACGATTTCATCTATGAGTACTGTGGTGAGGTTGTGAGTCAAAATGAGGCCGAGCGAAGAGGGCGAATCTACGATAAGATTGTCTGCAGTTTTCTCTTCGATCTCACCCTGCAGACCTGTGTGGATGCCATGCGAAAGGGCAATAAAATCCGCTTCGCCAATCACTCAGTCCATCCGAATTGTTACGCGAAGGTGAGTCCGTCCTTTTCTAAAAGAACCTAGTACAAATCTGTCTATGCCATATTTAGTGGTAATAATGGCCTATCGGGTTGACCAATGAAATCTGAAATGCAAGGTTTAGAAACTCCTCTGTTTAAAACGAATACTGGGAAACTTTTTATCAAACGTATACTGTTTATTTTTGCTAGTAATGTAGCAATTGATGAGCACTTATTTCAAGTCAGCGGTATTGATATCTGTGGCTATCGATGTATATTCCTTTAATTTACGACTTTTATCGAACTGTTTATTACTTCTAAAAGAAACTCAATGGTACTGCTCTTCTGTTCAAGATAAGTGTTGAAAAATTGCTTCTATTCAAGGAGGTAGGTCAGAGATAGTGTCTTATTACCTCAGTTCTAGCCTTTGAAGCTTGGTGTCTTCTAAACTTTGCCTTAGGAGGTCACCTCTTTGGTCTTTCCAGAGTCTGTTTTATAAAATTTGCACTCTATTTTACTTTTTCTAGTTCAATTGGTCTTTTACGAGGGCATGACGATGTATCTCTATAATTTCTCGCTCCTTAGTAAAGGTATGACTTTGACCATGTGGAAAGGTTCTGGTTTCGGATTGGCCAAATTTTAGCCTGGATGAATGCATGATTTTGCTTTCTCAAAGTCTCTAGAAAGGAATCGCATTGAATCTGATGCCCGATGCTTAAAATAATTCTAGATTTGAAAATTGAAAGTTTTTTATCGATCAGTACAATAACATTACCTTTCCTAATTTCCTTCATCGTATTTCACTTTGGCTTAAATTCCCTCGAGGTGTTTTAGCCTTTATCATCCAGTCAAATCGAGGACTCTGTGCCTCTCGATCGATTTGTGCTTAAGACTATCAACTTTCTCTTTGATTCTCTTCTTAATCTGCCGATTTGGAAGATTTGTCATAGCAACCCAGAAATTTTACATTCTTTCTTGAATATAGCCTTTCATGAGTCATTTCTCTCCAAGACCGTAGTCCCAAAATCAGCTTTCTTACGGACGTAAAGGTTGGCCTTAGTTGTTATCAGACGTTCATTGAAACCGATGGTTGGCTCTTGAATTCTGGATAAGTTTGCTATGGTTTTAAGCATTTTCCATCATTGTAGATACTAATGGTGAATGGGGATCATCGTATAGGCATCTTTGCAAAACAGGACATCAAGGCCGGTGAAGAACTCTTTTTTGACTACAGCTATGGTCCTTCCTATCAGAATCAATATGTCGCCATGGAGAGAGATGAGAAGATGACACTGGCAACACAAGAGGCTGCCAAAGCATTGGTTGACGGTGGTGTGTCGTTTGATGAATCTATGCTTTGATCACCATATACATATACCTATATACGTGTTTTTTGTGTAAGTGTTGTTTTTTCGTCTAAACAAAACACTGATGTCTGTGTATTCATGTTACTCAATGTTCTTTGGTTGTGTTTTAGATCGCCAGCGCCGGTGAAGCTAAATTTATATATCACCGGTTATTTGTTAATATGAAGTATTATAATGTAGTAATTGTCTTATTCTTTTTTAATTCCTTTTTTTGTTTTTATTGATTTTTCTGTTATTGCTGGCATTCATAATTTTGCAATATTTTGGTTGAAACAGGGGCTTGTATTGCATAAAATGTCGATGACCTGACAGGGGGAGTAGTACTTTTAGCTCTACAAAAGTTTCGTTAAATGTATTTATGCAGGTTCTAACTAAGACTGATAAGTAGATTGCTATTGACAAAGCACGATGAATGTTTACTGGAGGAGGTACAGATATGGACATCCACTGAATTTATAAGTTGTAACACGTCTAGGGTCAGGCTGAAGTTCCTTCAATGAAATTTGTGTAGTATTAAGCAAGTTGCATGGCTTAGACGAAGAATCAAGCTGGGGAAAGTAGTCGCATTCTCCCAAATGCGAACCAAAGAAGTAATAGATAGTCAATCGGTAAATTCTTGTATCTTAGGTGCTAAGCGTTCTTTGTTTATTAACTAATAGATTGAATCTCCACATTTCCATGGAATTAGAGGTAAGCCTATTCGAATGGGTTCAGTGTCAAATCATATTTAGGTTTTTGGCTCTATAAACTTATTATTATTTAATGCAGTATACTAATCTAACTCTTGCTAGTCGTGGTACAACGAGCATTTCATTTCACGGACATAAACTTTAGACTTAAACAAAGCTGGAAAGGCGTAAAAATGAGATATAGGTCTATAGCACTCCCCCGCCCAACTCACCCCTAATGCTCTTCAATGCACTAAAACATGGAATGCACGCATTCGGTTGCCAATTTTTTCAGACCATGCTCTATTTAGTCTTTAAATAAATTAACTTACCATTAGTAACACAAATTTAGTCAAATCGACCTTTGTGATTGATACTTCATTTGGACGAATTGGGTGTATTCATTTTGAAATTAAAAGCCATCACCGTTAGTACAATTTGTTTACTTAATTTCCAACATTGGTGTTAGATATAGTGTTTTATAGCTTGCCGACTGGGTAACGTATTCTCATACGGCAAAGTCAATGAACAGGCAATTGACTTCAACCTACCATGACCCTACTGGTTGTCAATTCGACTACTTCCATAGTACTCACCTTACCTCTTTTCTACCTTTGTGTCTGCCTGTCTCTTACAACTGTGAATCACTCTTCTGTTCTCCTTTTCTCACTTTGATGTTCCGCCTTCTCTCAGTGAAGCCCGTAGTCAGCTAAAGGGTTAATGCCAGCTATCGTAAAGCCTGCCATTTGATATAAATAAATTTAATTGATATGAGCTATGGTGTCAAGGTCTGTCATCTAGAATACTAAGTGGCAGATTAGTTGAAATTGTCGATCATTCCATTTTCTTACATCAATCTTTTCCACTGGCCAAGTAGCAGTTATTTAGTACGAAATAGCATATTTTGTTAATAAAGCAGAACCATCAGTATTCAGTGATAATAACCTCTATTAAAGCATCAATAAAATTTGAATTGCTATTCCAGCTCTTATTTCTCTTCATTGCATAAGCGATTTAGTTTGTTTGGATAGTCGTGCTTCATTTTAGCTCTCTTTTCTAATTAAACGAGCATCTAACCGAATGAAAGCAAATGAAGATTATTTTTATCAAGGAATTGCAGCTGAGTTATACTCTAGGCACCGTGAATTTCTCACCGATAACGGACCTACCTCAGCACTGAGTGCAAGCCACAAATCGATAATCCATAAATAAATTTGAAAGACCACCAAGGTAGTAAAAGCATGATTTTTCGAAAAAAACTGACTTACTGTTCCAGTTCAACCTTCCAATGACAAGTCGAAGACGAAAGCCCCTATTTTGGTTATCATTGCTGTTTGTAGTGCATAAAACAAACCATTAGAGATGAAAACATTCAACTGGGGAGTTACATTTTGTAAATCAATTTAGTATGGCTTTATTTTACCGATCGGCGTTCAACCAGTGAGCGTGTAAATATACTACCACGTGGGCAATACTATTTGGAAATTGATCACATTTTTCTTTTGCTTTATTTCTGATTGGCCTAGCAAGATCAGAACTATTTATATTTAAACCCATCTCCTGTCATTTTTAACATAAACGGTTAGCCATTCCGTTCAATTTAAACGTATCGTTTTGCATTGAAATACCACAGGTTGACCGCTGTACTACAGCAGAAATTGCGAACTCAAATTTCTGATAGACACCAGTTCTGAATTTGCCGTTATGCAGAATAACACCGTCTACAAACAACTGACCTTTCTCTTCTGGCGGCTAAAGAAACCGAAGATCCACACCTACGTCAAAAGTTCCTCACCCTCGAATTAGGACTTCGCCCATTGTTCCCATCTGTGGACGTTCAAAAAAACAACCATTACTGGTGCTGACTTCCTCTGCAGTAGCCGTACAGCTGACCTCATAAAGTCCTCAAACGCAAAGTCAAATATTACATTCTTGATCTTCATGGTACCAAGGTACCAACAGGTCTAAACCGGCTTATGTGGACCACGTATTTCAGAAATCTCTATGGCAGATTCTCCTATGGTTGGAATGACTCTCGAAACTAGCTAAGCTTCAGAAAAACTATAGAGGAAACAGATGTATCAATACGGAACACGATTATTCGGGAAGTGGAAGGACAGGGCGCTTAGCCAATATATTCCATATAGCATACTCAATAAACCAAGCGGTTGGCTGTGTTCTCCACACTCACTACCTCCCTTACTCCCTATGCGAAGGTTCACATCGCACCTTCAAGTCTGTCTAGATGCCCATGAGACTACTTGTTCATCGGTGACGTTGTGTACCCCACAACCTCCCCTGATACTTCTGCACCTAATGTTAGAGCACACCTGTCTAGCTCTACTCCTCCATTATCAAATTCGCCTGTAATAACAGAGATAGCAACACCTGAGGCACTGACAACCGTGTCATATCCAAGGTTATAAATTAATTCAAATCTGAATGCATTTCGTGCTATTAAAGCTAAACTTTCTTTATGTCGGTAATATTTTTTATCGATCACCACCCCATCCACTCGCATATTTTATGATTTTTCCTTATTTCCGTTCTAGTGCGGTAATAGAAGAAATGACCTGCGCCTACAGACAACTTTCTGCAAGAGGATTGATGACTGACGAGCAAAGATCGAACTTACGTCATTGCAAGACTACTGCTAGCATTAATTTTATTGCATGCCTTCAGACAGAACCATTTGAGGAATCTGCTCCGAAAACCCGTGGTTCTAGGGCACGGGAAGCGGGACTCGAGCCATTGACTCATGCTCATGGACTTTTCCAAGGCGATGTCAGGATTATCTACAAAGGATGTCGAAACCGGTATTTTGCTCATTGGATCGTAGTGGAATTGCGAGGATATCGACATTTTACAAGAAGCACAATTCTCATCATTTTTAAACTTCAGGGTACTTTATTATTCCCACAAACCTTAAGACAAGTAAAATCGAACAGAAACAACAAACTTCTAATATTTTAAATCACCATAACATAAGCGATATGGCTATTTATAGACCCTATTTTACTTTATTTTCGCTAGAACCGACAATTATGCATATTCGATTTACTCTTGTGCCACTACAGTCCTCGCTCACAAATACTTCGCACGCTATTGTTCCGAGATCTGTAATATCTCGATCAAAACCCTCTTGCACTCATCGCGGTCGAAGCGTTTCCCCTCCCGCCTAACTGGTAATGAACATAAACTAAATTTCGAGCACTTTGTTTGCCTTATATCTTCCTGTAAAGTATCATAGGGAACTCAACTTTAGCATGACAAAAGCAGAGGCCTCGCGACCAATCAATGGGCAAGGCCAATCTGTGGTTATCATGTCAGAAAGTGTCTATTACGTTTAAGTTCCCCGCCTGTAAAACACCACAAACATAACCCAATAAATGTATTCCACGTCATACGTCTGTTTCCTCTATAGCTATGAGTCAGCATAGCCAATTCTGGGGCCTTTCCAAACATAGGAGAATCTGCTATAGATATTACTGAGTGTATTTAAAGCTTGTTAGTGTAGCAATCGAAAGCTGTTACAAGGGAATATCTATATTTATGTTGAGGAAAATCCAGCAAAGCCAGAAATAGCGTCGACCAATAAATGATGGTCCACCTGTGTTCAATGAGGGCGTGTTGCGGCAAGCGAATGAAAAATATTTATAGAATATCAGGCAAAGATAATGAATCCCCTTAAAGGGGATAAGTCAATCAGGAAGACAGCCATAACGCATCCTTAAAGTATATGAAATAGAACATTTCTGGAGGTTTATTCTCGGTAAATTTAACTGAGAGTCAACATGAGAAAAGGCGAATACCTGGATACCAGAAGTAGAGTGAAGAAAGGGTGTATAAATCTGAAAGATTACGTAAGCAAAGGTTGCATTTTAGATCGTTTTTATCCAGGCTGCGAACAAATTCTTACTCCAACTCTTTCTTGCGTCGAAGTCGAATTTAAAAGATTGTTCCATTAAGAGTGATATCCACTCCCTTCGAAATAAATTGTAGTTAATTAATTTTTCCCATAAACTATACATTTCATTATCATTTTATATCAAAGTTCAACTGGTTTGTAAAAGCTCTTGAATTGAATCCTTGAACTACTACTTCAATAATTTTATCTAACTTATGGGAAAATGCCCACAATTACCTGTGCGGAATTTCTCTCTTGTTTATCAGCAAGTGATGCATCTCAAGGTGGAAGGAGAGGATTTACGAACAAATAATATTAATATCCTGAGGTGTGCGATACTTACCTCCCCGTGGTGCAACCTGGGCAACGTATACTCATACGGCAAAAAGGTCTATAAACCGGCAGTTGACTTCTGGCTTCTAACTACCACCACCCCACTGGATGTCATATTCGACTTCTTCCACAGTGCTCACCTCACCTTTTTTCTACCTTTGTATCTGTCTCTTTTACATCTTTGAAACACTCTTCTGTTCCCCCCCCCCCCCTCTCGATTTTTTTCGCCTTGATATTTCTTCTCTCCTGTGAGGCCTGAAGTCACCTAAATGGCTAATGAAACTATCGAAATGCCTGCCATTTGATATAAAAAAATATTATGATCCTATAATATTGTCAATGTAAAGCAATTGAAACAAGAGATTCTTACCTGCACTTTTGATTTCTCTTTGAGATTCACGAGAACAAGGAAGAGGAACGAAGCGAGTGAAAGCAAACCTAGAGTCATTAGTGAATTTCAAAAAAGTTGTAAAGCAAAAATATTACAGTAAGGCGCAATAATTGCTTAAAAAGTTAAAAAAACCTAGACTTCAATCTCCAGACGCACGATTCAACATTGACCCAATATGAATATCAAAATTCCTCATAGCCACAAGAAGTGAAGACTTAGATACGTTACGAGGCATTTAAGTCACATACTATTTGATTAGAACCCGTCTCAGTACAACAGCTAATAGATGATCGTCTCTGAACATGCCAAACTCATAGGTCAAAGAAATCAGAACAGTGAAAAATGGCACAATTTACTAATTCCAATGAAAAAAATCGTTTGCACTATCGATTCCCATGAAGAAATTCTGCAATTAAGTTTGAAAAATAGATATAGATCGCAGGAAATAAAAATTATTTCATTTCAAAATTTACCGCATTGATTTTATACAGCAATGATTTCATAACAGTAGCTCCATCAGTCAGCATATAATACACATATAAAAATTACACATAATAATGAATCACAAGAGATCTCATCTTAGAGTTGCTTTAAAGGAGACTTAGTTGAGCTAACAACGGGTTCAGATGAGGCCATATGACTTTTAGACAATGAAGTATCGGTGTCCATGGGTTCAAAACCCACATTCCGATCATTCTCATAAGCCCCTTCCTGCAATTCATCCAAAATTTCCTCCACTTCCTCCCCTTCTGCAGCATCATCTTCAGAAGGAGATTCATCCCCATCCTCTTCATCATCATCCTCCTCCTCATCAGACATCAGGTCTTCTTTCGCATCTGCTTCGTCATCAATAGCTTCCAAATCGATTTCTGCAGCAGGGTCTTCATCAAGATCAGCCTCGTTATCGTCAGAACCTTCCTCGGAGTCGTCGCCATCATCATCAGCATCCACTTGGCTTTTGTCCCCGGTACTTTCTCCAACTTCCTGTTCCGTTGATGTAGTGCCTTCTCCACTGACAACCATGTCCTTTTCATCCATAACTTCCTCCTCATTCACCTCAGGCTCAGGCATTCCATCAAGTAAGCCGTCTCCCCAGTCTATGGGAAATCGAGTTACACGGGGATCTGTTGTCAGAACTGTCCTCCTGAGCTCGTCAAGCAATGGCTTTGCAGGGGGTTCATTGGCTAATTCCTCAGATTTGTACTCATTACTAACATAGTAACCGATTCGAATGAATTCCTTTTCATGATAGAGAGCTTGAATAAGTACGACAGTAACGCCAACAATATCTTCGGTAGGGATTTTAGCAGGATCTGGAGGATCGACTTCAAAAACAAATTGATGTCTGCCGACAGGAATTGGACCGACGAGAATAGAGTCTAGAGTCTGATCAAGACTGGAATTATAAGCACTGCCAACGTAGACAACCTTCCATTCGAGATCTAAAAGTCAAAAATATTAAAATAAAGATGTTGCATTACCATCATCAAGAGGTTCAAAGCACTCAAATGTTATTTTGAATTTGAATTTATCGAAGAAAGTTGCAGGATTATCAAGAACCTCGACGTCACTTATATTCACTTTCGCCATTATTTGACGGCAAACGCACAAGGCAAAAAGAGATTCAAATTTATGTCTTTCAAATGCTTAGACAATTTCTATTGGGCATTTTTCCCCAATGAGGTCAGAGCTATTGTTCATATTTTTTCGTCAAACATATTTTTTAATCGAAGTAGAATAATTTTCTTAATTTCTCAATAAATCACTATTCAAAATATTTTATTAAAGAATTATTATGGCCTTTTTGAAATTCCGATTAATGTAACATGTATGTTGAAACAAAATACATTATAAATACAATGAATAATTTATATTATAAAAATATATTTAATAGTCGTATGAGTATAGAATCGGAATTTTTAAGAAAAATACGATAAATTCTGATTAGTTTAAAATTTTTAATAAATTTTGAATCATAAAGACCATGTGTATAAGAGATATGAAAGACATTCATTTACTTTTTCATTAACAAGTATATAGATTGAAATTGCCCAATTTTAAAAACTTCAAAAATTCCTGATATAGAAATGGATTGACACTTTGTGTTAAACTACAAGCTAATTTAAGCAGTATAAATGCTCTATTCGTGTAAAATTTTATTGAATTATAATTTATTCCAATGAATAAAAGTAATGTAAAATTTAAAGAACGATAAAATACCAGCACTTTTTTAATAAAAGGTTTAACTAGCTATATTACCACATAAATATTTTTACGTTTTGTTTATATAAACCATACCGAAAATACAATTGGTTGAATATTGGATCTGTCATCTGTGAATTGCACCAAGCAGTTTATTTTAGTTGAAGGTGTGCTTGGCTTGGTCGTTCACATATTTCAGAGCTCATGATCTTATTGCCTCTATTAACTTTAATAATTCTGGTGCCGTTGGCACCAACAGTCATGGTTATGTGGCTGCTGTTAAGACTGGCTGGATTTTTTTTACCATCAACGGCATATCATACTTTTGACGATAAACTGTATTCTTGGTATCAGCGATGTGTCCTGCTATTCTATGAAACTTTTGTAACTCAAAAGGTAAACAATAAAATATGTTATTCATATATTGATTAAGATTTATTTTTATGGTGATCACGATTTTACTAAACGGAAGGAGGATGTTATCTTCTTGTGTAATCATCAATCAACCGGTATTGTTTCACTTTCTCGACTAATTCATCTTTAGTTGATTGGATTATTTGCAGTATGATAATTGCACGACAGGGTGGAATCGGCAGACTTCGATTTATTTTGCTCAATGCGCTTAAATACATTCCTCTCTTCGGTTATTATTTCTATCAGGTTTATTTAACTGCTATCTTTTTAAGTAGCATGCACTCAGAATACGATCTAATTATTGTATTTCATTTCAGCATTGCTTCATTTTCATGAATCGCGACAATTTTGAGGCTCACAAGGCTGTTTCAACAATGGACTACATTAAGAAAAAACAACTTTCAGTAAGGCGGTATTTTTGCTCTCTTTTTTAGCAAATCTGTTTTTAACAATTTGTATATTTTTTCATTGGGTTTACTTGCATGCCTGCAGTGTATTTTTTTCACTAATCTAGTGTTGGATTGTTGCGTACCCTGAAGTTGATCGTTTCAATCCTCGTAAACCGGAAGCTATTAATAAGAGCCGCGAATTCGCCAAGTCGAAGGGTAAGTGTCGGATCGCAATTTGCTTTGATATTCCGAATGTTCTTTAAGTTCAATTATTCCACTGGTATTTCTGACATTTAAATCTGTTTCAGACTAGAACCTTGGTAGTTCCTTTTTTGCCTACTTTCTCGAATTGTCCTTTACATCAGTCTGACTTAGAAACCACTTGTGAATATTATCGTTAAACGATCGGAGGAATTGGCGCATCGGAATTTTCTCTGTATTTTCATTAATAGGCTTCTCAGTCATTTTATCTTCTCTTTACTATAGGATTGTTGTTTTTTGATATTCCTCAACATAGATGTTGCGTTTGGTTTTCCTTCACGACGTGTATTTGACTACGATTTCTCTCCTACTTGCTTTTAACAAGGGCCTTTCAACTGTCAAATTCTGTGGACCTTTATTCCATTATTTTGCCTTTTAAGTAGTTTATAGGATATAATTCGCAATGCAAATTGTCTTAAATACTCTCATGTCTGGTTGTTTTGTGCTGATACCGCTCCAGGACTTTTTAACCGTCGGCCGTGATCGTTTCTTTTTGTTGATGCTCACACGTAATCTGTAATCACGCGCGATTTCACACTTTTTGTCCTTTTTTCGTTAACTGTGTCTTAAAGTTTCTCGTGACTTCTCGATCAATTTATCATTCTTGTATTTATCACATTTCCTGAAATGGGTTAGCAAACGGTGCTGATTTAACCGCTAGTGTCTTCAGATAGAGTAACATGCACTTCTTTTTGGTCGCATCAACACCTGATTTTGATCTATAAATGTTTGGCTTTGTCTCCTCCTAATGTAAAAATCCATCCTGACTAAATGTGAAGCCTAATCTCTGTTGTTTTTAGGTTTTAGGATTACCTGGATTTAATTATTTACTATGGGTATTGGTAGAGAATCGAGCTTTCTTTTTAGACATCATAGCATCTCTCAGTCTAACAGAGATTCACTTGTCTAAGGACTAAATGATCTCTAGCAAACCTCTTTTTCATTTCTTTTCACTTTCCCATGTTCTAAATAATTATAGGTGCAAATCCGGTATTTTATTTAGTTTTAGGAAAAAATCATTTCATAGTTAAATAAAGGTATTCAACCAGCTGCAATTATATATTACTTTATTTTGACGAAAGGTCAACCAGCTGCAATTATATATTACCTTACATTTTTCTTGATTGTTGTTAACTGTCTACCTGAGGCGTGGAAAGTCCCTAGATAGAAGTAGAAGTGTGGAAATAGTTGATAGACATGCGCATTCCGTTGGTGAATGTACCATTCCGGTCTATCTCTTGAAGTTATCGGGACTCCATTACAGACCATGAGTTTTCTATTTATGTTTTTGTTGGTCATTGAACCTGAAAATCTGTTCACGCGCACCACTTATTCTAATCTTCATGAAAGGCTTCATGTTTTGGAAATCTTTATAGGCGAATCAATTTCAATGGGCCTATAGTGGTTAAGTTATATTGAGTATTAATATATATATATATATATATATATATATATATATATATATATATATATATATATATATATATGATTTTATCAATAAGGAATGCTCGCTTGTTAAATTATTTACTCGAATTGATTAGGGTCAAAGTCGATGGGACAGTTGAGAGTAAAGGGGGGGGGGGGGGGGGGAACTCCCAGGTCTTAACTGCGTAAATAGAGTTAAGATATTCGCAAATATGGTCAATCATTCGCGTGCTCTTTCTCTCTAATCTATTTATCTCCCCATTTCCCCCACCGTCCTTTGTTTATAACTTGCTTTGAATGTCGTACTGTTTTGTGGGGATATAAGCAACGCTGAGTGGGACGGTATCTCTACTACCTATTTTAACCGGAATATTCCGGCTTTTGCTAACAGTTTCGAATGTATGATTTGCTAGAGTTTATATAAATACTTTTTAAGTTGTGGACACGTGTTAGAGTTCCTTTTGGAATAAATGTTTTGCTATTTTATTTCGACTAGCAGTTACCATCCACCACTTTCAAAATTGTCATTTCCAAACATATATAAGACAGTTGTGGTGCATTTTTGTGACCTATTAAAGTAGAAAACTTTTCTCCATTTTGAATTAGCTTCCTGCCACCTATGGCGAAAATAGTGTTTTGTCCATCGTGTATTGAGATTGAAAGTGGCAGTTTTAATTCAAATGGGGTAAATGGAATTGGTATATTTGCTTAGTATGTACTGTTGGAATGTTTCGTTTGGGAGTTTGTTCACCATGTGACAGTAGATATTGAACATTTTAGGCGAATGAATTAACAAACATTAATTTATCGAGACAGCATGGTTAACTACCTGAAATTGCCTAAATCAATTCTCTACTAATCAAATGCTGAAATCATGAGCATTTGGAGATGAAGTGGACTCGCATTAAGTAGGAAGTGGACAATCTAGTAAATCCAGAATAAAAATGAGTTATTTCTCTTACATTAGGTTGGCTATGTTTTTGCTTTTATTCAACCTTCTTCATTCCTTCTTGGCTATTAATGGTTAATCATTCATGAATTCGCATATTTTTAATAAATGGCAGGTCTTTTCCCAGTTTTTAATACAGGTACGACGAGACGTTCGTGTTCAAGGTATCCTGGGGTTATATCCATTTAGTCTGCCATAACTGGTCCCACCATTGTCAGCATCCAATAAGTATTCGTTACTCATATCATGGTAAAGGTGGTTATTGTGTCCAGCATTGCCACCCATTTCTTTTCGAGGACTTTTGTGGCGATCTCAAAGTCTCCTAGTTTCATTAATCTGGAATTGTAACTTGTAGACAGCAAAGTTCAAAAGTTTTCATTAATTACAGTAAAATTCCATGTTAATAGAGAATCATTAGTTTTTTGGCTTTTCAAAATGTTTCGTTTTTAGGTTTGCTACTAGAATTGGTATGTTGTTTTGACGACAACAACAGGTATTAAAGCGAAGTGTTTTTGTCCGAAAACTACCCAATTCCCAATACATTGTTTAGCATTAAATAATAATGGGTAGCTTTTCCACTGCCGATTCGGCCTTTTTTATTTTGAAGGTAACACTCGGGAATTTGCCGATCTCCTAACTTCTCTTACCGGGCCATTGGATTAGTCATGGAATAAATGCGATATTGAATTGTAGAATCCATTTTTATTGTGGATGCAAAGTTGGCGATAATGAGTTCTATTTGCAATTGACTGTGTAAAGCGGTCGATAGTAAGCTAAATTCTGGTAATTAGAGAAGCCGACATTGGATGATATTTTTCCGAGTGTTGTCCCTCCCCAACCTTCTTATATTGGCTAGAATGTGTCGTGAATGTGTTAGGTAAAAAAGAAAAATGACTGTACAACAATGTATGCCAACGCATATTGCTTTAAGTCCCAACTTTACAATTGTCGAGCACTGGGGAAAAAGATGTTTGTGCTTATATGTTGAAAAAATGCATGTTCTCGTTTCTTAGAAGAGGCATTCAATTCATCAGCACTGGTCATGTACAAGAAGGTACTATTACAGTTGGTCTGAATACAGCAAGCTTAATGTGAATCCATCTAGCTAAACCGTTGGAGAAGACACTCGAGTGTTTCGTTAAATAAAAAGCGGACTTTGAAACCGTCCATACACACATCTCATAATCTTTATTAGCTTGGTGACATCATCCTCACGTACTAAATTGAAGCATGTCTGACATTGACGTGACTATCAAAGCCTTGTTTTTAACTCTTGTAAAGCGATAAAGCATGGTCTCTAAACCAGATTTTGGACATCCTCGTTTTTATGTTCGCTTACTCTCTCACACATGTCTTCTAGTGCCTATAAACCATCTATTCTTATCCTAACTGCATTGTCTTAAAGCTGTTCGTGCATGAATACTTATGCTTAGGAAATATGCTATTTACGTCTAGGAAATAGTGTACGTTTTTTCACCACTAAGTTCGCTAAAGGCAAGTCATTTCGGAATGATTTGCACAATGAAACCTCTCGGTTTAGCACATTGCCTTTGCATTGACCTACAGTGATTTAGGCCGGGGGAAAATAATTCCTTCCTTCACTTGCAACTTTTAACGTGCTTATCTCTGAATTCAGTATTCACAGTAAATTTACCCCGGCTGTGGAGCGGCCAACCACCCTGGTCACTTTGTTACTTCGTATTCAGACTTCGCTGACTATATATGATTGATTCCCCCTATTGTTAAATTTATTCCCTTTGCATAATCGAACACTTATATTCTTTAATTGGCTCCCAATATGGATCACAATTCATTTGGAAAACAACTCGACTTTGCTTAATTTACTTGAAATCAATAATCGTGCGATTAAGCACATTTTGGCAAATATAACATATTCACTATGCTGATAGACGATAACTACTGATAGTCTGGGATTAACGCTAATTGTATGTGCAACTATTTCTTTAAAACCTTTCCCTTATTACAAAACGTATTTCCCATTGTGCTGGAAATTCTGACGAATATGACTTTGCTGGTAATGTTGAGCAATTCCTTGATTATCTCATATTGGCTCCACCTTGGCCTCAAACCCCTTACTCTTCCATGACACAGTTTCCATATTACGCATTCTAGCAGAACTCTGTTTTTTCTTATAGGTTTGGTCCCCTTAGAATATCATCTTACTCCCCGCGTACGTGGTTTGGAAGTCCTCTTGAATAACTTGAGTTCCCATCTTCATGCTGTCTACGATTTGACTGTGGTCTTTGGTGATGAAGACGGAAGCTGTTTGGACAAAAGCAAGCCTATGCCTGGCCTTCTTGGTTAGTATTTGTTCCACCGCATCGATGTTTCTACAGTCATGCAATCTGTGGATCACTGAACTTCTTGTCTCCTTTGTAGCTTACTTGACTAAGCCTCGCACTCTACATATTCACCTTCAGAGATACCCGATTGTAGATATACCAAAAGATCATGATGCTCTTCGTTGTTGGCTGTCCTCTAGATATGCTCTCAAAGACAAGTAAGTACTATTAGTTTATTTGCATTAAAGGTACATGTTAAGCACGCAAGTTAAGGGTGTCATTTGGATAGGGGATCTGTTCTAACGAGGTGAAGTTATGTGGTCCAACTCGATATATTGAAGCAATGAATTAAATCATTCTCACAGATAGCAGAGAATGAATGTGACCGAGAAACCACTTTGATTTATCGATTAGAATATTTAAAAATATTCATGTATGTATTGAATGGGGTGCTGCCAAAGGAGGAGCGACTGCTAAATAGTAGTCGTGAAGTGTCGTGAGTTCCTATATATTCCTGAATTAATCGCTACTGCACGCTTTCTTATAATATATTTGACCTTTAATGACAGGTTAAAAAAAACTTTCGCAAAGCATGTGCTTTTCATTTACTAAGCTCCACAAGTTATATGCTCTTTTATTATTTTAGAGAGTAGTTGAGGTGGGCTATGCTATGCCCTATGATTGATTGATAATTTATCGTGCTGAAATCAATGTTGCAAATATGGGTTATTTTGTTTTAATACAATTTCAGTATTTCCAGTTTCGCTAGGGCCTTGATAATTGGCTATCCTCTAGATATGCTACCAAGGGCTTACAAGCGAATTTGTTTATGCTATCAACCTATTTACGTTCATAGTGGAATCTGAGGCCTTATCTTGTTTATAAGACAGTTAATCGACTTTGGGTGTTAACTTGACACGCGGCACAAGGTTTCTATAGGCGAAATCAGTTCATTTTGTTGTACTGGTCCAGCTTGAATGACGAGTCTTTCTACTTTTATCGATTGGACGAAATGGATTCAATAGTATGCTTCTGTTACTTGACTTTTTGTACCCTTGGTACGCATCTGTTACCTTTCAATGTTCCAATTATATAGGATGGCTGCGTAGAATAAAAATTTTATGACAAATGACAGGCTTTATGTTAGTTGTCATTGGCCCTTTAGTTGACTTCGGGCTTCACAGAGGGGAGGAGCAACATCAAAATGAGAAGAATTTGAGAGGGAGAACAGAAGAGCGATTCACAGATGTAAAAGAAACAGACAGACACCGAGGCACAGAAAGGCTATGATGAGTACTGTGATAGGGGTTGAATATGACATACAGTGGGGTCATGGTAGTTTGAAATCAGAAGTCAACTGCCGGTTGATAGACTTTTTGCCGTATGATTATACTTTCCCCAGGGTGCATCACGAGAAGGTAAGTCTATCTCACACCCCAGTGGTGTAATATAACACGCATTGGAGTGATGGCAGTTTGAAGTGAGAAGTCAGCTGCCGGTTAATAGACCTTTTTGCCGTATGAGTATACGTTGCCCAGGTCGCACCACATGGAGGCAAGTCTCGCACCCCCGTAGAATGGAAGTAGTTTTGATAAAATTTCACAAAATCATGGAGTTTCCTGCGCGCGGCACCTGCTATACTCTATGACAAGTAAACTTTTTTGTCAACGTGTTTGTAGTTTATAAGAAGCCAACAGTGATGCTCTAACTTGTTTTAATCTCACGCTGTACAAGACCAGTGACTTCCTTGCTATTAACCACTTCCAAAGATGGTAAAATTCAAATAAAATCCATTTAATAATTCTCTACAACCACGTTGTATAGCGTTGATAGATAAACCTATTGCAGGCGTATCTTTCTGAATGATAAGTTTTATCATTTAAAATGTTAGATAGTGGATTACCAAGGTGGTTAGTGCCTTCAGTAGCAGTGGGATGTCCGATATATCAAAGGAGATTTTCAGAGTTTCCTAAAGGCATTATATCGACTTTTGCGAGATTTATTATCTGTTTATCTATCTAAAATCCAGATATTAATCAAAAGATTTGTTGTTCTACTTGTGCTTGCAAATATCCTGATATTTGGAATTGTCCAGCTTTACTCACTGAAGGTCATGATTCTCGTTGAAACACGCTTATTTTCTAAATATTCTTGAATGGGTTTGTGATTGCACTTTTACTTGGTTTATGTTATAGTTACTTTCCAAAATAATAAATAACCAACCCAGTAGTTTAACAAATTTTGATCATTTAAAGTGTATGTTTATCTATGCTAAAGAGCGTGCAAATTTTTCAAGTTAAGATGTCGGGAATTTAACCAGTTATAGCTCGAGCCTGAAGAGTGTCTGTTTAATCGATTTCCCTTTATTTCAAAGAAAACGTTGTCTTCATAAAGTGGGATCTCTCTTTAAACGGAGTCTTTCCTTTTTCTCACCAGGTTGTTCGCCGATTTAGAGGAAGTGAAGAAGGCCAAATCAAGACAGCCCAACGCAGAAGAAGTTAAAGCCGTATTCCTCAAGAATTTGTCAGTTAGTAAAGTGCCGAATGGATTTGATCAATTGCCACGCTTGCGCAAACGGTGGCTATTTACCGCATTCTTCTGTATGGTTTCCTTCACAGTTCTTCTCCTCTTTGTTCACCCATGGCTTCAATATGCATACTTTGGAAGTGTTCTTGGAACAATCTTCTTTGGAATTCCCTATGTCTGGCTCACGGTCTAAACAGAAAGGTAGAGAAACCCTTTCGATCCCTCTACTTCCCATTACACGACTTTTAAATCGCCCTTCTGTGTTTAGTATTGATTAAATTGATTTATCGCCCTTCCCATGTCAATACATAGTTGCATGTTCCATGGTCGTGTGTAGATGTCCATGGAGTCTTAGTTCCTCTTTTTTCAATAAAACTTAAATTCTTGTTTATATTAATGTGTTGTTCTTTTTATTTCCGTGATCTACTGTTGATTTCGGGAAGGTTTTGTTTAACTACTTGAACTGCTAGCCTATTGAACTCCCCTCATGGAAAATAGGTCCCATTGGAGGTCATAATTAATCGAAAATAAGTTATTTGTGGAGTTATTTGTGTCCTATTTAGTAAAAGTAGAACAATTCAAAACAAGTAGGAAATCATCTGCTGAGGTTGTAAGATCTAGTCCGGTCATTTGCACTTTCCGATGGCGGTTAACAGATGGAGTATTCAGAAGGAATTTACTTATCAGGGTAGAGATTCACCTATCCCCGATAGATACTAAAAAAGCGGTGTTTATATTTCAAATCTTCATTATATCGTAAGTAAAATAGAATGACGAGAAATTGATAGAAATCCGAGAAAATGCAGAACCGTGTCTATGTGTTGTCTGGATGCAAAATTCCCTCAGGTTATCTCTAGATGGTACGTCGTCTTATTGGTAAGAAGTAGGATCTAAATTGATGTTTTAACCCCCCAAACACCACTTTTATTAATTTCCATAGTCCTTGTTTATTTAATAGAATCTTTGAATAACCCCAATACCGTTTTATCCAACTATCTGAGTCAACTGTAGCGGGGTAGGTAGTTCAAGGTGGGGGGTGGGGGGTGGTGGGGAGAGAAAAACCAACATTAAAACGGCGTCAGAGTCTTACTTTGGGAACGGAACTTTTAATGCAATTTTCGTAATTGAATAAATTTAAGTAATAGAATAGACTGGGCATTTCTTAAATGGGAGCTAAGTATAATTGCCTTTAAGCAAACCAAAATACTAATTGTGCTGTGTTATCATTAACATAGAGTTATAAAAAGGGGTGTGCGATAGACTTACCTCCACGTGGTACATCCTGGGCAACGTATACCCATACGGCAAAAATGTCTATCAGTCGGTAGTTGACTTCTCACTTCAAACCGCCATCACCTCACTGTATGTCATATTCCACCACTTCACAGTACTCGCCTTACCCCACTCTCGGCCTTTGTATATATACATATATATATACATAGAATTATAAAAATGTCAAATATTAACGCCATTATATTTATCACTAAATATGCGAATTGGTTGCCACAAGAGAGGCACTACTATTCTTAGTAACATCGCATCTACCTGCGTTTTGGATGTAAGAAGGTACCGATAAATCGTTGCGACGTAACCCATCAAATCAACAAACTGGCTAATAAGTTTCAAACATAGCGAACAACCCCCCCCCCCCCACTGGATTTTTAGTCCACGGTGCAGTTTGTCATGGCAATTAAGTGAAACCTGAAGGACCTGATAAATCTAAATTGGCAAATTAGAGAGCAATATAGGTATCCTCTCCCCATCTTTCGAAAGATGTTTAAATTATTTCAGTTCTCATAACACCTGGGCCGAGATAAGTGAAGACCAATACAAGTACCAAATGGACTATACCTTATCCCAACTTGATATCCAGAGAAGAACCATCCGTTACTAAATTGGTCCGAATTAAGGCATTTGACCAAATATGGATCTGACATGTAGGATAATGGGGAAAGTGGAGGGCAAATTGGGACTGTACAAGGGAAAATTTACCATGGGAAATTAAAATCAAATTGCATTGGACATCTAAAAATGCACAGGATCCAGTCAGTAGGCCACTACCCGTCTCTTGGTGAATTTTTACTGTTTCAACCATTCAGATGTCTTCCCGTAAGCAATAATTACAACTTTTTTATATTGACAAGAATAATAATTAAAGCGATGATGGTGGTGTGTGGGGTGCACAACGCAATAGTGTGGCCATGTAGTATCTGTAGCGGATTGCTACTTTATTAGAGCCTGACTGACACAGAAATCTCTATGGCAGATTCTCCAACATCTAGCTAGACTCCCAGAACCATCTTAGCTATAGCTCCACGGATTGCTACGCTAGTAAAGCCTGACTGACACAGAAATCTCTATGGCAGATTCTCCAACATCTAGCTAGACTCCCAGAACCATCTTAGCTATAGCCCAGCTATTGGGTGTTGTTGACAGATTCACTCTATACTTTCTTTTGTTTTGTTAGGCCATCATCTAACCTTTATTTTTTTCTTACTGTATGGGCTTCTAGACATCTAACCTATATTTTTTCTTACTGTATGGGCTTCTAGGTCAATCTATACTTTCTTTTGTTTTGTTAACGTGGCCAGAGCATCAACCTATATTTTTTCTTACTGTATGGGCTTCTAAGTTAATTAGTAAAAATTTTCTTAAAAATTTTTTTGTTTAGTTCTTTAGTTTTGTTTTTATCCCAATTTACAAATGAAAGAACAGGACGTGCACTTCCGACACATTTTATTGTATTACTTCCGAAAAGGCAAGAACGCATCGTGTATGTATATCCAATCTACTGAATTACACCGGTCCTTGTGACAATATTAGAGGTTTCTAATTATTGAAATTATAGAACAAGAAGTCGAATTGAATATTTTCAGATCAAACGAACAAATTGAATAGCCTTATTCACACACCCATAGGTTTATTCTCTATCGGAATTGGAATGCGATTACTGCCTTACCATGCATCCAATAAATTTCATAATTCACAAGTACTTATCATTTAAAAGGGGGAACTGAGTTCTCATATCTGCTGCAAGACTTCCATCTTCTTCCCGGTAACTAGGCCGTCCATTGGAACCTTTGCGGTCATTGCAAATAACACTAAAAGGTGACAAAAGGCCACCTGCCATTACAAAACGACAAAAGGTATTTGAAATGTCAGAGCTCACTATTTGATATATTTATAGTTTTTTTTTCGAATAAGAGGTCAGAAATAATGACATTTGAGTTAGTACCAGCCTCTATTAATTCTCACAGAAAAATTAAGAAAAAAATGCATGACAAGTCGTTTGTAAATGCTCATCAATTGTTTCACTTTACAATGCCAATGAACAATTTTGGAATAAAAAACGTGGAATCCCATGATATACAAAGTGACAAATTTTTCAACAGCTGGACTTTTAAATGATGTGAAAAGGTATTTTAAAACATTGCATGGATATGATTGCAAAAAATCCGTGAAAACTTCTTTTCTCCAAGTAAGAGAATTTAGGAATAATGATTTACCCGCCGTACTTTACACTTCTTCATATTACGTTCTTGAAATGCAGTGAATTTAGCATACCAGTGGGGGAGGCGCAAATATCCGCATCTCTGAACACATTTCGGGAGAGTAGGGAGTGTTGTATCCAGACGCCCCAAAAATCGCTACTCGCTCATCCCACAAACGCCTTCGTTTGTGCCAATTCACAAAATAATAACTCTCTTTAATCGATGTATATCGGAGATGGAATGTAGTAAGCAGAATTTTATCCTGCCTATTCACACTGCCAGTGTTCGGAATTAACGGTGGAATATAGATTCCTTCGAACTGAGTAATAAAGAGGATATTTGATTATATTACCAGTATGTCCTGCTAGGCTAACCACGAAGAAAATTCTTTGTAAGTAGAATGGAGTGAAGATAACAAGCCCAGTAAACTGCTCTGTACATGGGAACGTTGCATACACAGTCACATGAGAAGTAATTCGAGGAGAACAAAGTTGGCCGGAATGAACTAGGTGGAGACGAGTAAGAATGTCACTACATAAGACTAGATCTTTCTGCTTCCTACTGGACGTTCCACTGTTGAACCACTAACCATAAAACCAAGGAGGGTTGAAAACCCTATCCCCATTGTGATGAATTGACCACAATGTAAGTGTATTTGAATAAGCTTGAATAGTGAGGTTCAAACTGGAGGTCTAGTTCACATTGGTTTAAAAGAAGTGTATCATTTCGAGATACAACCTCAATTAAGATGAGTCGATTCGAGCCAGCTGATAACAAAGTCGCTTCACCTTTAATTCAAGATGCTTCATAAGATTAGCTGTGAAAATAGGCAGTTTCAGTCAAAATTTTCCATATTGCACCCCCCCCCCCCATATCATAGCTTTCAAATTTTTGACTAAACTCCCAAAAACTAAAGCATAAATGTTGATTTTGATGTTTCTATTTGCACATTCCCAGTAATACATATGGGCCAACAAGCTGAATTATGTTTCAACGCAAGGAAAACTCAATGTCCTGGTGACACCCCAATCGGTTTTATCACTGATCGATGGTGACAGGAGCAGGTAGCCACACCCAAGTCTGCTTGGGTTGATATGAACTTTTAGTGAATGACTCAGGCCAATCCGCCAGCAAATAATCGTCTGGTTATTCTTAATCGTGTCACCACTAATGCTTTTGTAATGGAAGATAACTTTATGAGACACGTCTGAAAAGAATGCAGTCTAAATAAGTATTTATTCAGTCACATTGTATAAATAAAGCAGGCAACTATTGAAGGTCATAAAATGCAATGAAAGATAGAAATAGGGACAAACAAGAATAAGAGTACAAAAGGTGAGAGGCATGGGTTAACTTATCTCATTGACACATATATAGCCACGACGATGAATACATGGTCCAATGCAATGTTCCTCCAATGTTGACATGATTAGTCACTGAGGTCAGGCGTAGACAGAGAGGGAGAGAGAGTAATATGTAATTGGAATTCCCTGTAATTTATAGCAAAAATGTACGTACTCCCATTAACTCATATTTACGATTTTGTACGCTAGGGCACATCTACATTCTACAAAAAATCTTATAGTTGAATCGATTTTATAACTCGCATTCATGATCCATCTAAAGCCAAACTTCACTTGAATCAGTTCTACTCATCATTCGTGTTTTTTCTCTGTATATACCAATATTTCCATGACTTGAGAAAAACTTAATCATAAATTAGATTTGAGTGGGCCCACCTGCGATTTTCGTTTCCTTTAGTTTTTTAATTGATAAATGCGTCTCTTTTAATTTTCAAAATATGCTGACTAAAGCTTTCATAATCAGAAAACTGTTATTAGCTCTCATCGCCTTAGATGACCTCCCTTGATTGCAAGGGAACCATAATAAATGCTACCAAAAGAAGTACATGCGTACTTAGGAGCAATTAATAAACATTGGGCTGCCTAACTAGTTCACTTGATGCTCGGCATGTCTGAATAACTAGGTCTGTGTAGGACCATGAATGCACAAGTTCTCGCTGGCAAGGCGTCGACGTGCGACAACCCTGCCATTTTTATTTCTTATGAATCCTTCGTCCGTTGCATCACAGCTATTGAATGGGTTGCTTATCTTGCTGCCCCATAAAAAAGGAAGGAAATGTATCAACAATATTAAAATTAATTCGTTATAACGACGTTTTCATCATCGGCAGGGCATTGGAGCCTTCGTTTTCTTTTAAACGTATCTTAAAGGAGGTCTATTTTGAGTTTATTTGATTCCATTGATCACCTTCACAAATAGGCATTTTATACTATTCATATAAAGAATTTTTCCTACTTATGGCTTATCTAGTTGAAGTAGACTTCACTTATATATGAAAGTATTTAATACAGAGTACCTTAAATGTTCTCTAGTGGAAATTTTAATGCTGGCTAGCAGCATTACTTTAACCTTCTAAATGTCAGTAAGTCGCATTAAACCCCCAATCGGCTATTTTGCTCTTGAAATTTGTCCTCAAGAGTTTTTAAGGGGAATTCTTGAGTTGTCCCCAATATATCGACTCTCCTGGGAAATTAAAGTGAAACTGACTAAAATAATCTTAGAATTTAGAGTTTTAAATAATTGCTACAGATCTAGAAAACTAGATTTGCTACGCCATTGATAGCTCACATTGATACTAACTCTATTAAGAATTTTCATAGTAAACTCGAAGTCACAGATTCCCTTGGGAAGTGGGAGGATAAAACAGAGCAGTTTATGCGGCTAAAGTTGAACACTTGTACAGATCGAGTATTTCAAATTATGTCATTCTAAGCATTTCTACTTAAAAGTGAAAGTAGGGGCCATATCACCTTGTATTTAGCTGGAATTCCAATAAGTCTAGTCTATTCATTTCCCGCTCTCTTTTCCTTAAAATTTCGCACTGCTGAGGGGTGGGGAAAGTTTGTTACAACTACTCTGCTTTTAGATATTGATATTGGGTACAAGTGTACTAGTTTGCGGTGATCCATGATCTTTGCCCACATGAAGACCACATTGAATATCGGAAAACCATGACTAAGATCGGTAAACTCTCATTATGGAGACAAATGATTTAACTGACTGATTAAGGACTCATCATTTGAAGATGGCGAAATCTATCGAAGTAGTAAGATTTCGTTCAGGCTTCTATGACTTCACCACAAACTATTGGGTGGGCAACTAAGTCATTGCCGTTTTTGTTGACGGATTCACTCTATACTTTCTTTTGTTTTGTTAACGTGGTCAGAGCATCTAACCTATATTTTTTCTTACTGTATGGGCTTCTAGGTTAATTAGTAAAAATTTTTTTGTTTAGTTCTTTAGTTTTGTTTTTATCTCAATTTAAAAATGAAAGAACAGGACGTGCACTTCCGACACATTTTATTGTATTACTTCTGAAAAGGCAAGAACGCATCGCAAGCACAAAAGAAGTTATGTGCCGTATATGGAGATGAAGCCGCCTTAAAAGAAAGGCAGTGTCGAAATTGGTTTGAAAGATTTCGTTCCGGTGATTTTTCACTGAAAAATTCACAACGATCTGGCCGCCCAGTCGAAGTGGATGAAACCCATATCAAGGCCATTATCGATTCAAATCGTCACAGCACAACACGAGATATGGCAGAGAAGCTCAATGTGTCGCATACATGCATTGAAAAAATGAAAAACCCTTGGTTATGTCAAGAAACTTGATTTATGCATCCCTCACCAGTTAAAGGAAATTCATTTGACGCAACGGATTAGCATCTGTGATTCGCCGCTACTGAAACGCAATGAGAATGAGAATGATCCATTTCTGAAGAACCTAGTTACTGGCGACGAAAAGTGGATAGTTTATAACAATGTTACTCGCAAGAGATCATGGGTGAAGCAAGATCAACCAGCCCAAACAGTATGAAAAGCAGAGATTCACCAAAAAAAGATTATGCTGTCAGTCTGGTGGGGGTGATCACAAAGGAATTTTGTATTTTGAACTCATGCCGCAGAACCAAACGATAAATTCAAATGTGTATGTTGAAGAACTCGAAAAACTGAAGGACGCAATTGAAGATAAGCGGCCGGCATTATCAAATCGGCGGAAGGGTGTTGTTTTCCCTCATGATAACGCAAGGCCCCCCCCCCTCCATATCTTTGGTTACTCGGCAAAAATTATTGCAACTGGGTTGGGATGTTTTGTTTTGTTTTGTCACACCCACCATATAGCCCTCACCTTGCGCCTTCGGATTACCATTTTTTTCGTTCCATGCAAAACTCTTTAAATGGTAAAATTTTTAACAACGCGGATGATGTCGGATCACACCTAATTCAGTTTTTTAATGGCAAAGACCAGACATTTTACGAACGGGGAATTTTCACTCTGCCAGAACGATGGAAAAAGATCATCGACAAGAACGGCCAATATCTAATTGAATAAAGTTATATTTTTAAACAAAAATTCCGAATTTGCCTTCTTATTTGAAATCGGCAATGACTTAGTTGCCAACCTAATAGATGGATGGAAGTACTTATACTAGGAGAGAAAAAAGTAGATTTCCTGGAAATAAGGTCAATGCTCTAGAACCAGGAAACGAATCCAGGACATAATGGCTGCACTATTTAACCAAAAAATATCCTATGTTCTATGTCTATTATTGAGCAGACCACGTCGGCGACCATGAACACGCAGTTGGAGTGTAATTTTTTTCATGCACGTGCTGTCTACTTGCTTTCCATTTCTTTGTATCAAGATGAACATTTCTTAGTTGTAGATACATAATAATATTTTCCCTTGATGTGTTTAGCACCTTAGTTAGTGTTTTCCTCTTAATTATTATTAAAAATAACGCCTATCCCTGAAGTTGCATCTGTGAAAGAATGCTTTACCTTACACTACATGAAAATAAGTTTTCCCCTTAACAACGAACCTGTCTTCCAATTCTTCATAGCCTGGATATCGGCTTGCATATTACACAATTTTGCCTTTCACCTTTGCCTAAGGAGGTGGAAATTTGAGACAAATCGATAATTGACTTGTGATTGCCAATGCTGCAGGGTGGTCATGCTGCAACCACACAATTGGGTTAGACAGCGTGTGCGCATGCACCTACAGGGGAAAACGAGGGAGCGGATGACTTGTCCTTTTGGCTATTTTATGGTCTTATTTTTTAGTATCATACATTTATGCATTAAATTAGCTTAATTCTACTAATTGACTATTATTAACAACTTTGCTAGGTTTTGATTTAATTCCATTGAGTTATTCCGTATATTGAAGTTTAAAGTTAACTTATTCCAAAGTTAATGCCATCTTACAGTTTCATGAGAATATCTTTGGGGTGTGAGATAGACTTACCTCCACGTGGTGCACTCTGGGCAAAGTATTCTCATGCGGCATAAAAAGTCTGTAAACCGACAGTTGACTTCTGACTTCAAACTGCCATGACCCAATTGTAAGTCATATCCGACCACTTCTACAGTACTAATCTAATCTTTTCTCTGCCTTTGTGTCTGTCTATCTCTTTTACATCTTTGAATCATTCTTCTGTTCCTCCTCTCCACTTTTTCTCACTTTGATTCTCCCCTCCGTGAAGCCCGAAGTCAGCTAAAGAGCTAATGATAAATGTAATAAAGCCCACCATTTGAAATAAATGAATATTCATTCATTAATTTACCTGTGAAAAACTGATCTTCATCAACAGTTTCTTTTTTTCAATGGTTGGTCATTGTCCACTTTCACGTTATTTTGTCTGTTTGTAAGTACCTAAATACATATTAGTATTTAGGATAATACCTACATTACATAGAGGTAGAACGGGACTTTAAGCGACAAATGCTGAAAGTTATTACATATTTTCAATAAAGAAATACTGAATTATAAGTTATATATGTTAAAACTATTATCTACCTTTTAATTATGTGCGCCAGCTTATTTTGCAAGTTGGCACCATAAGATTGTGGTTCATCTTGAAAAAAACGTTATGCTCGGAAGCAGGTGGCAAAGATGACATAATTTAATTATTTAAATCAATAAAATAATTATATTTTTGTCGTTTTTTCAAGACTTTCTAAAATTGCATGTGTACAATTTACAACTTCCACTAACGCTCTAAGCAGATAGGGTTTGAAGTTAAAATCATTGTGACCACTATAATTATATAGCGTGAAAAAATAATGAAGATTTAAGGACGTATAAACAAATCATATAATGAATTTTTATTGTTCTTCAAGTCATTGTTAATAAATAATAAAAGAACATCCCTCATACGAATTTGGAATTTGGCCTTGAAGATGCCTCCCCTAGATGAAAAGCCCGATCTTGAAACGCCTTCGGCAGAATTTTTAATAACCCAAGGAAAACGATATTTGAAATGTCTGGATCCACAAAATGCAGTTGAATGCTTCGCCAAGGCGTGCGAAATTCTGTAAGTCCATTGCTTGCTCAATTTCTATTTCATCATATAGTGCTCAACAGCTAGGCGATCTTCATAGTGATTTGGCTATGCCCAATTTACTATATGGAACAGCTTTACTTGAATTAGCTAGGGCGGAAAATGATGTATTCGGAGAACAAGTGAAAGATAAGGAACTGTCTTCGGGTAATCAATTTGGATTGCGAATATCTTTGCCTAGATGAGGAAATCGACGAAAACGAGGAATCTGACTTAAATTCAGAAAAAAAGCAGGACGATCCACAACCAGCCAAAGTAATTGAACAAGTAAGTAACAAGATAACTTAATCTTTAATTTAAATAGGGTGATTGCATAGAGAACCCTAATACTTCGGAAGAGAAAACAGAAGAACCTCTTCCATCCAGTTCAACTGGTGTGACTCATGAAACCGAAGAAGTTGATGAAATTGATGATCACAAAGATGGAGGTGAAATTTCCACTCTCCAACTTGCATGGGAGGTAGTAGAGGTGGCTCGCAGTATTTTTTCCAAGCATGATGATGTCGAACACAGGCTTAAGTGTGCAGAATGCCTTGAAAGGTTGGGCGAGATTGGTCAGGAATCAGGAAATATTGAAGCTGCCATAAAAGATCTTTTGGAGTGTCTTGAAATTCGCAAGAAAGACGATCCGAAGAATCTCCGGCTTATTGCTCTAACCCATTTTCAATTAGCTCTAGCCCACAGCTATAAAGAGGACTTCAAATCGGCTAATGACTCGTTTGGAGAAGCTTTAGAATATCTCAAGGAGAGTAAAGCACAATATGAATCTGACCTATGTGCTATTAATAAAGAAGATGATGCGGAAAAGGATAGGATCAGTGTCTTGGAGGTGTATATTAGTGAAGTTGACGGGTTGATAAAAGACATTGGTGAACGGCGAAAGGAGATCTGTGAAAGTTCCGTCGTAGTCAAAGAGGCAGAGGCTTCACAACCAAAAACGATAGATAAGGATTCTCCAGTCGTCGACATTAGTCATCTGGTTAAGAAGAAACGGTCAGCTGAAGAAGAACAGAATGCAGATTTGCCCGCAAAGAAGGCTAGAGTCGACGATGTGGAAGATAAAAAGGAGGAAGATCCTCAGCAAGTTGAGAACGGGAAATCCTCATAAATTTGATGTGATATCTAATTGCATTTTTATATATGTCGATGGCTATCGGTGTACTTTTGTCAAGAAGTAATACTGATATTTGTATGATAAACAAAAATTACTGTTTTTTTTAATCTGAGCTATTTGTTTAGTTTGCTCCATGATTGTCGTTCGTTTAGATTTTCTAGTTTGGTGAATTAGTGCAATTTAACAGTCTGCAGGGCTAGATTTGTGTCCATTTAAGGTCTTATCTATAGGTTATTGGCTGCCAAACGTCTAGGTCACCTATCTTGATATATAATTGGCTAATTTCACTCCTGTATATTAACCTGTTTACTACGTTCTATGCGAGCTTTGGCACTTTGTTTATGCAATTTTTCTTCCATAATGTCTATATTTACTACTTTATTTCTATCCCTATTTTACTTAACTTCTTCGGATTCAAATTGTGATCTATGTCGAAGCGTTATGGAGCAGTATCATTCCTCTTTCTCCGAAATCGATCCTCATGTAAGCCTTGGCGGTGGAAACACTGATTGGGAAGAAAAGTTTATTGGAAAATATGCCTTTAGTGAACTTCATGCATTTGAAACTTTTGAAAGGACCTTGAAAAAGTTGGATGATCGCCAAACTCGGTTTCTTTTGGATATTGAATCGGACATTGAAGAATTTTGGACTGGATATTTGAAAACTGGAAAGGCAGGATTTTTTAACTTTGTTGATATATTTTGCAATGATAAGCTAAGGCACTGCTGTCCATTTAATACGGCTGGTGTTAACTGTTCTGATTGTGAGCCCTGTAATATCGATCATGGTCATTGTGACGGTAATGGGACACGTTTTGGTAATGGGCAATGCTTATGCCAAAAGGGGTATTCTGGAAGTACTTGTGACGAATGCAATCTTCGGACCCACTTTCAAACATTCTTTGAGAATGGGAGTCTTAATTGCGTCCCCTGTCATCCATCTTGTTCTGGCGGTTGTTCAGACGACACGGCAGGTTCCTGTGTTTCTTGCGCCCATGGTTTTTATCTATTGGAAAGAAATGATGGAAAGAAAAGCTGTCAAGATATAGATGAATGTGAAGATTCACCCTGTAAAAGAGGTACTTTTTGCATCAACCAAATTGGAACCTATTCCTGCAAAAAATGTCCTATTGAATGCAAATCTTGTAAAAGTTCTTCCGAATGTACTGCCTGCAAATCCGGCTATGAATTACAAAGTGGGGAATGTGTCGACATCGATGAGTGTACCGATACAGATATCTGCTCCGGTCCGCATGAAAAGTGTGTTAATCGACCTGGTTCCTATCGATGTATATGTAAGGAGGGTTATCGTCAGAAGCAAGGAATTTGTGTTCCAGCGCCTCTTAAAGGCAGCACTGCCGCCACTCGGGGCAGATGGACTCCACAGAGAACAATGAAACTCCTGGTTGAATTTGGAAAGCTCATGGCATTCTTAGTTGCCTTCGGTGTTGTCACCTATTTTCTTTCGAAGAGTTGGTTTCTGTCTACTTCCCTTGCTGCTGTCGCTGTGGGCGTTGTTTGTTACCAAGCCAAGGTATTAGATAATATATAAGCATTTCTATGTATGTTAGTTCATTTGAGCATGTTCTTTTAACAGAACTATTTTGGTGAAGTGATCTTATCCTTGTTGGGAAAAGTATTTTTCAATTTACTAGAGCATAGATGGTTTTAGTATGACATTTTAGTTTGAATTACTGGTATTGTAGTCTGTTGGCAATATATATGAGTGATTCTTCCCAATAGAAGGGTGTCAGAATGCTTATTTCTCACCAAAAGACGGATTAGACTTATGAGTTCCCTTAAAATAAAAAAAAGGGAACTGGAATAGCCAAACACGAGGGAGCAAGAAGAAAGGGAGTTTGATGGATTATTGGAATTCAGGAGAGAAGGGCTTGTCACCAGTACTAAGAGAGTGGGGTCTGGTTTGTATTTGGCACGGAGAAGTTGTGTTATCTGCTGGGTGTTGTGCATTACAGTGCATTATAGGCCGACTGAACGTGGTCTTAACTGTGGTGATTTGTAGTATTCCACTAAATCTTCACTACTTATCACTTGATAGCCTATTACTTGAATTATGCCAATTAAATACAAAACAAGGAGAATATTGAAGGAGAAGTTAAGACTGGTATTACAGGAATAAATGAATTGAAAGGGTCAGTATACATGGATGCATAAAAAAGGTTCTAACAAGGACAATATTTCCAAGTCTTCTGATTTACCATTACCAAAAGAGAGCTAGAGACCAAAACTGAAGTGAGTGGGAAGTTACAAAAATTATGGGAAAGAAGCAAGCTTGACGCAATATTGCAATTAAATTCCATGAATTAGAATAATAGCAGCAAAACTAGGAAGTTATATATGAGTCGAATAGGCATTACAATGACAAAGCATGCGTTTGATATGTGGGACACGTTATCGCTCTGTGCGTCATCGTATGTCTGCGTGTCTGCTCGCCAGGTTTGGGAGGAGCGGCCGTACAAACAGTGACCAATCATCAACCTGTTTAACCTAATCCCCATCCTGATCATGAAAAGCTCCCTGTGTACACACTTTGTCCACAATATACCTACTGAATAGACGTGCTCCGTGCTACGCGCCTGTTTCCTTTAAAGCTGGGCTATGGCTTGGGTGGTTCTGGGAGTCTAGTTAGATGTTGGAGAAGCTGCCATAGAGATTCCTGAGTCGGTCAGGCTTTACTAAGGTAGCAATCCGCTACAAATAAATAAGATTTAAATCATCCGAATTTCCTTAATGAGTTGAATGAGACTAGCTCGAGTAATGTTAGCAGATTACGTTCCCGGTCTTAATGTTCAATGAGATAGTGAATGGAAAATGAGAGACAAAAGAAAATAGACTATGTATAATTGGAAAATAACGATTAAAGTATGAAATAAAATCACGACAATATTTACATCACGGGTAGGAAATTTGGATCACTTAGAGTACTTTCATTAAAAATATGATTGACATTTTGAGAGAACCACATTGAGGAACAAATTTTAAATGATTATAGGCTTGGGATGGAGGCTACAAAGAGTAGCTACAATCCAGATGCAGAAGTATGTTTGATATGGGATGGACTTCAGTGACTATATCGATTACACTTCATTTTCAATAAATTCAAGAGATGTGAAAGGCAATAGAATCAGGCGAATTCGATAGTTCAGAAGTTAATTCATGCTCTATTTTGTCACTTGCAGAAAATACCTTCTTGATAAACAAATGAAATTCCTCTAGAAATTGACAGGCGAAAGCTAGACTAATAATAGCGGAAACATACTTCAAGCCTTTTTATTCTTCTCATTTTAAACGTCAAAGGAAGTCTCCTCGTTCCAAAAAATATTTATTATTTATTTATTTCAAATGGCAGGCTTTATGATATTTATCATTAGCCCTTAATCTTTGACTTAAGCTTTCCCCAAGAAGGGGGGGGGGTACATTTATAGCAGTTAATTAATAGCAATTCATTAGCTGTCTTCTTGCTTCCCAATATCTTTGGCTTTCCGTCCTTGTCTTTAGGACTGGACACCGAATCAGGTGGGTCTTCTCCATTTTCTCCTGTAGGTTACATAGAGGGGCATGTGGGTTGAGTGAAAACTCCCAATATGTGAAGGTGTTTTGCCAAGCAATCGTGTCCGATACGTAGTCTAAACTCAGCAACAGCTTCGATTCTTGGCCAGTCGGCTATGTCACAGAGTGCCACTGTCCACTGTTTCTCCTTTCTTCGAGCTTTAATTTCGTTGCACCTTGAGGTCTGGAATTCTCTCCTGATTAAGGCCTTCATTGTGTGGAAAGACATCGGCCGGTCCATGCATTGCAAAATCGTTGTCCCCTTCTTAGCAAGTGAATCAGCAAGCTCATTGCCTTTGATGCCACAGTGACCAGGAATCCATTGAAGGACCACTATTTTGTTCTTCTCTCTCAGCAGCTGATAGTGTTTTCTACATTCCTTTATCTCAGCTGTTTTGGGTGTTTCTCTGTTTCCAATAGAGTCTATTG